AAAATATATATATATATAGCTAAAATATAACATAACAAAGCTGAAAGTAAAGTGATGGTAAAAAGACATCAACAAAAAATATATTATCAATCAAACCTATTCTGGAGAAAGACAGTGAAGGCTCCCCCTCCCTGGCCCTGGTCTCCTTCTACCTTCTAAGCCAACAATGGAGACTAGGTCCTTCTCACACTGGTCTCACTCTGGTTCTCTGCAGCCAGTTAAGGTTCTCTGCTTTCATGGGCGCCTGTGATTACCCTGCGCCTATGGGGATGATCCAGAATCATTTCCCCATCTCAAGGCCTGTAATCGTAATCCAATCTACAATGACTCTTTGTCATGTAAGGTTGTTGGGCTGCACCCACAGGCCTGTAAGCCTTGTAGTTAGTTGCCAGGCCTCAAGACAGAAGAAAGAGCCAGAGAAACCAACAGAGATCTCAGTGGTTTAATGGATGAGGCACACTTACATGTCTGAAGCAGGGTTCTGGAGCAACACCTCACCGTGTAGGGCAGACAGTGGGCAGGATGGAGCAAAGTTCTTCGCTATGCAGGGTAGAGGGAAGCTACTATTTACAGGGGGAATTGACATCAGGTGGGTTCACCAGTTACCAGGGGCTAATTAACCCTTATAATTAAGAGAACTGGATAGCCATGTGAGTGAAGCAGGCAGGAAGAAAATCTCAACCACTCTTAGAGGTGGCTTATACTAGACAGCCAAAACCAGTACTTTACTTTGATTTACATCTGGCACCTACATCAGTGCTCCATCAGTTCAAAATTAGGAGGAGAATGAGACTAACTGAACCCAAGAGATGACAAGAAGACTGTATGATGTCTTTACATCTGAACAGTAAAACTATAAAACATCAATTCATTGCTTAGTCACTCAGTCATGTATGACTCTCTGTGGCCCCATGGACTGCAGCCTGCCAGGCTCCTCTGTCCATGGAATTTTCCAGGCAAGAATACTGGAACAGGTTGCTATTTCCTACTCCAGGGGATCTTCCCAACCCAGGGACTGAACTGGAATCTCTTGGATCTCCTGCATTGACAGGCAGATTCTTTACCAGCAGCGCCACAGGGAAGCCCACCAATTCATTACCATACAAAATGTAAACCAAATACTCTTAAAAAAAAAAAGAAAGAAAAAATTTTAAAAAGACAAAACTGGAAACAAAACAATTTAAAAAATCAAATACTCTGACTCACTGACAACTAATAACATCCATTTGATTTGAGGAGTTTTATAAAGGGAACAAGTTAAAAATTAGCTAAGGGAGTAGATCTTTCATTAAGTTCTCTTAAGACAAAAGAAAAATCAAGGCAAAAAATAGTAAGAGGGAGGGAGGGAAGTTTTGAAGGTGATAAATAAATTTATATCCTTGATTGTGGTAATGGTTTCACAGGTTTATACTTATCTCCAAACTCCAAAGTTGTGTTAAATATTTACAGTTTTTTGTTTGTCCATTATACCTCAATACAGAGATTTTGAAAAAGAGAATAGAAATGTGAATCAAATGTCAGATTTCTACAGTTAAGAGAAATTAGAAAGCTGAGGCTAGTTTGTGAGCTAAATTGAATTATATAGAATAGAATTATCTTGAAAAGTGCCTCAAAATTAGCAGATAGGCACCACAGAGGTCAGCTTTACTCCTCCCTCTCCAATGGGCTTTACTCCAGAAAGAAAGGAGTTGAGTATGATAAATATAATAGGGATGTAATTAGTTCATAAATTCTCTTTGACACTATATAAAACTGAGAGCTAGGCTAAGTTACAATTATTATATAGAAAATATTTCCATGGGACCTTGATAGACATGAATATATTTCTCCAAATGCCTATGTCTTTGGTCATTTCAATGAAACAATGTATTTTTCTAAAAACTCTTTAATTCTGAAGAAGTTTATTTAAGTCACCCAAAAAACTGCTGGATTTAACCCACCTGCAGTTAGGAAAGAATCCGAAGACAAAATGACAAAACAATTTTAGTCAGTAAAAATATAATACTGCACATATTTTAATTAAGTATATTTAGAAAGCCTAAATATTTAAAATCTGCCCTCATATTCTTCTACTCCTAATTTTATTTATTTTTGGGGGGGTTTCATTTATTTTTATTAGTTGGAGGCTAATTACTTTACAATATTGTAGTGGTTTTTGTCATACATTGACATGAATCAGCCATGGAGTTACATGTATTCCCCATCCCGATCCCCCCTCCCACCTCCCTCTCCACCCGATTCCTCTGGGTCTTCCCAGTGCACCAGGCCCGAGCACTTGTCTCATGCATCCAGCCTGCTCGGGCCTGTGCACTCCTATGTTTAAATCAGTCCATTCAATAATATTTACCAACATATTAATTAGAGGTTTAATAGAAAGAGAATGAGTTTTAAAGTCAAACACGACAAGATTTACTTGTTTCCCTTTTCTTTGTAGCTGTGTAACTACGGCCAAGTGACTGAACTCTTCTATAAAAGGGAGACAACATTCACTGTAGAAAAATCAGAGTTTATACATAACATATAATAATTGCTATAGATTTTACTTTGATTGAGTCATACTATTAACCCTGTCTCCATCATTTACCTATTTTTGCTAGTTTAAATGAAAACTTGAAGTAGTCATGAACTGAGATGCCTACCACAGTGATTGGCATATAGCATGTGCTTAGAAAATTTAAGTTATAAATATTTATTTCTTGTAAATAAAGGAATTGTGGTTGATGCTTCCTTAACCCCATAGACTTTTATTAGTAGATCTCATAATAATGAGATTCCTATTTATCTAACATTCTATCTTCTTTTTTTTTCCCTATTTCGAGTTGTCCTGGGAATCTTTTATTTATTTATTTATTTTTATGAATCATTCACCATCTCACTGATCCATCACCACCTGTGTACTAACACTACACTGGGCATCAAAGCACCTCCAGAATCATAAAGAGTTTTTAAAAAATTACAGAAAGAATATTACTATGAGGGGACTCATATGTTAGGTAATCAGCTATTATTTGGGTGGCAAATCTCAAAAAATAGTTTGACAGATTTTTTTTTCATGTAGAATTAAATAGTTTTTTGAGCTTTTTATACAGATAGCCTTAACTTCCACCAGTGATCCCTATTCTTCATTACTGCAACAATCACTCCACAAATACAAAGAATCCCTCAAGTCAGCATAAGAGCATATAATATAAGCCACAGAAACCAGAGCCTGGAAAGATGATCAAAGAATGAAAATTCCACTTCAAATACAGTTCATGCTAGACTCAGAAAGCTGCAAACTCATAAATGCAGAGATTAAAAATTACAATGCCATTTTAGTAATGTTTTCTGGATAGCCTAATTTTCAGCTACAACTCCAACTTGTTCTATCTCTCTTCTAAATCAAAACTGAGGAAAAGTCAGAATGGCAAATGTAGCTTTGACAAACAGTGAAGAGAGAAGATCAGATAGACACCACGCTACAGCTTCTCCACGTCACGGGAAGAGCAACACGCATGGGAGGGAGAGGAGAAGGCAGGGAAGCAGCCAGCCAGAAGCTCTTCCTCCAGACACAACTGTTTTCAAAGATGTTTCATTCATTCAGTACATTTTGTGGGGCAGCTCCTGTGAATACTTGTTTCAGGCACAATACAATGAACTTTTGGGAGGCAACTGTGATCCCAAGATAGATTAAATTTCTTTGTATCACAATGTTTTTGTACATTTTTTTCTTTTTAAAATACATATTCTGTCTTCAATCCATCAGTCGATATTTATGAGATATCTGCAAATAAAACTCAAAAATAGACAATTTATATTAAAAGCAATCTTGTCGTGCTGGAGAAGACTCTTGCAGTTCCTTGGACTGCAAGGAGATCAAAGCAGTCCATCCTAAAGGAAATCAGTCCTGAATATTCATTCGAAGGACTGATGCTGAAGCTGAAGCTCCAATACTTTGGCCACCTGATGTGAAGAGCCAACTCACTGAAAAGGACCTGATGCTGGGAAAGACTGAGAGCAGGAGGAGAAGGGGGTGACAGAGGATGAGATGGTTGGATGGCATCACTGACTCAATGGACATGAATTTGAGCAAACTCCAGGAGACAGTGAAGGACAAGGTAGCCTGGTATGCTGCAGTCCATGGGGTCGCAAAGGGTGGGACACAACTTAGCGACTGAACAATAGCAAGACAAAAACATCTTTGTCAATTAGATCAATGGCCATCATTTGAAAATGGGGGGAATGAAAAAAAGGAAAGAGTAGATAATAAATTTTACATTGTTATTAAATGATTCGTTTACCTAACACAGATAAGGTGCTTGTAATGTGTGAGTAGATGTGCCAGGTGCCACAGGAGACAAAAATCTGAATTGAGACAGAAAGAAGACAACCATTTTGCAGGTCTTACTCATTCTCCTGTGATTAAATTCTCCCCTTCTTGATTCATACAGACACTGGACTTTAATCTTGCCTCTACTCTGCGATCTTCAGCAAGTTACCTAACATCTCTAAGCCTCAACTTCTCCATCTACAGAGTGGAATCAATAATATTATTAGCCTTTGTATTTAGGTTGTTGTGGGGCTTAAACAAATGATGCACAGAAATAATTTTAACACAATGTCTGATATAAAAACAGCTAACAGATATTAATACTTTCTTCTGAGTTTCCATTGAGCTTATGGCACTCACTACTTTTGCCCCATAAACCAAGACTTAAAGTCTCAGCTCCCAATTAGAAGAATGATGAGGGTGTATATAAAAGATTTGCATTTTTCCCTCCAGAAAATAATCACAGTCTAAGTGATAAATAATACCATGGGTATCACTTTATTATCTAAGTGAGGAAAAAATTACAGAATCTGCTCCACAGAATTCTAAAAATGTCCTAACACTGAATTGGATCACTGAAAAATACTTATACTATAAAAAACACAGGATAGAAACAAGAAATTTGAATTTGGTACCAAGACAGACAAATGTTCTAAGAATTTAAAAAAAGATTACATAATAGTTTTCTTACTTTTCTTTCCTACTGCCCAGTTGGCGAGCTGTGTATTGATCTCCATAGTCAAGCAGCACCAGTTGTCGAGAAAAGATGTTCACTTTGTTGCCTATAAATAAATCTTCCAGGTGAAGGTCCTCATATTTTGTCCGCTTTAAAAAGGTGCGATGATTCTTTACATCATGCTGGAATCAAAAACAATACAATAAAACAAATCATTGTCAGCAGGGAATGTTAACCTTATTACAAACTAGAAATAAAGTTATTAATTCTGCTTTATTAAACTTAAGTTACATATTGTTTCATTTTTGCTACAAGTAATAATTTCTTTTATAACATGCATTTCCTAGTCTAATCCAGTAATAACATAAAAATTACAAATTTAATACTTTTAAACCCTGAATAGAAATTTTTGTTTATTTCCAAATCATGGTAGCAAATTAGTGCCTCCAAGATGCCAAATTTCTCCTTTCTTGCCTACACAAAATCCCAATACCAGATAGGTCAGCCTGCAAAAGGGACTGTCAGGAAAGGGACACAAAGAAATAAGCAGGATCTCTTGGCTCAAGCTTCTACAATCTGACTTTTTGTAGTGGTAACAGCATTCAACAATGGTGACATTTATGACTGTGATAATCTTTATCTACAACCACTTGACTATTGATTAATACAAAACATGAATAATCCTACTTCAGTTTTCTGAGAAAATAATTTCTATTAAAAAATAAAGGCACAAAGTATTGTAGTAGAATTATAATATGAAAAATTTTTTTAATTTCCCAAATAAAAATAATGTATTTTTTCTTTCAGTTTTGTTGAGATATGATTCATATATAAGTTTAAAGGAGTAAGGCATAATGATCTGACTCACATACACCATGAAGAGATGACCACAAAAATTCCATGAACATTCATCATCTCACTTAGACACAACTAGAAAAAAAGCCAATCCTATTCCTCCCCCAATCCCACCTTAACTCCGTTTGCAAACTTTTAAGCAAAGAAAGGCTCATTTACCATTTCAACAGATCCATCCCCGGGGTAAAATAAAAGCTCATAACGTCGAAATAGTGAAGCATTTGGATCAAACCACTCTGCGATGAAAACGAATCTCTCACTATGATTCTGCAAAGAAAAAAGAATTTTAACAATAACATACAAAATATAAGCCCTCTTATAAAAATCCTATGAATTGAAAGAATGACCAAATATTTGCAATGAACAAATCAGCTATTATAATACTTTTTAATAATTGAATAATTCTGGTTTTCAACAATATGACAGCTATCAACACATCCTTAGAAATATTTCCCTCTAATTTCTTATTAAATATCCTTTGATATCTCAGAGTTGACTTATGATCTTAATACTTCACAGCCATCCAGTCATACTGGGTAAACTGACACTTTTTTAGAACATGAGCTCCTTATCTGACAACTGTGAAAATTCAGTACCTCTCCATAAAGTTCTAATTGTTCTAAGTTTAAGACCCCAGCAGTATTAGAATATTGTTGTCATTCAGATTATAGCAAGCATCTTTTCTCTCCTTAGTAATTTCATATGATAGTATCTTTTTATAGAAATAGTGGGAGAATGTGTTAGTCTAGGTCCCCCGAGAGGCAGACAAGATGCCAAGACAGAATTAAACATTCAGGAATCTTATTCCTGTAAGAGAAATTCTGTGTGGAAATTCCTAACAGAGGAAATAGGGAGGGATCCAGGGAAAGCAGACAGGCCACAGTACAGAGTTGACCCTGAGTTGAAGGAGAGAGAGAAGAAAGGCTAGGGGGAACTCTTGTGGATTGCTCTACAGTCTGAGGAAGGTTCAGCAAGACATCAGGCAGTGCTCGAGCCAGACAGCCCTCACAGAGTTCCCTGACTTCCAGGGGTGGATGGGCCTGTTTGAGCATCCCTGCTTCTCTCAGCCAAGGGCTGGGAGCCCCTGTAAAACAGGTACTAAACACAAAAGCAGCAGCGGATTTCAGAGCGCAGGGACTAAGGCCCTTTGGTCATTTCAGTGCCCTCTAGATGAAGATCTGTGAGGTGTATACACTGAAACATAAGTCAAAGAAAGCCCTCTTTCCTTGACTGTTAGGATTTCCCGTCACACGCTATAATAGCTTAGCCCCTAAAGGTCCTTCATCACAATAAGCACATGAGGACATAAGGAAGAAAGGAATCTAAGGGTTTTGTCACTAAGTCTAGATGTAGCATCTGATTCTCTGGTTAGTGTATATAGATGGGTTTCTTTTATATTAATAATTCACTTATAAATTCTAATAATAGTATGTCTAGCTGTATTTATGATCATATTCATAAGCTATAACAGAGGCACTTTTTAAGACACTATTTTATTTTTCCCACAATCATCCAGAAAGACACATTTAAATAACATGTAGTAGTCAAGAGAAACAAAAAGATAAAATAAGAGATACACTATTGTCTTAAGACAAGTCTTTCATTATTTTTCATATGAATCCTTATAAATACAGCATTTTATTTTTATTTTTTAATACGACTGCTTAAAATTTAGGTTTCATTATGTATTCTAGTATTATGCTCTCCTTTCAATACAAAATTTGAATAGTAGTAGTTTATCAAAAGCCTTACTGTCTATATTAAAATATCCATTTGTTCAAAAGCATGACTGAAATATTGCCTTCATTAAAATAGGTAAAATTATGAAACAAAAGAAATGAGAAGACATGTAATTGAAGGTGAGGCAAATGAAAAACCAGTGAGACTTGGCAGTTCCATTTATCCAGGCAGCCTTAACCACAAAACCTGCCAATCACACACTTTAATTCTATGCCAGATGGTAGAATTTTTCATGATTCATTATTCAGAAAACAGCTTTAATACAAAGAAAGTAAACTGAGGAAGTACTGTTTCTGGCTAATAACGCAGCTTATGACTAATCACTACTACTTTCCAAGGACAACCAGAAAAGTGGGATATTAAAAAAAAGGGGGGGGGGGATCTATCTGATGACATTGGAGAGCACCCTAAGACAGCCAGATTTGATAATCTAAGATTCAGAAAGAAAGGAAGCTCACTGAGGTGAGCACAGTACTTTTTATGCTGCTTTTACCTGAGGACATGTGCTGAGACTGAAGTCAAGCTGGACAAGAGATGGAGAAGCCCAAGAAGCTGACAGAGGAAGGCTATCTAGAGGCAGAGAAGCTAGCAGAGATTTTGACAAGGTCATGGGGATAAGTAGACAGATATTGGAATTTGAGCCTACCAAACCAGCCAAAACTGGAGGGGCAAAGATCCTAGAGAAAATGAAATCATAGAGAAGTGAGCTCAAGCCTGTGTTTGTTCAACAGAGCTTACAGTAGCAAGCATCACAGTGACAGGGGGAGAAAAACTGAGAATTCAATCCTGTCAAAGACAAGACTACTGATAAACCGTCCAGCCTTTCTGTTGCATCTCCTGGAGCATCACACTCCAGGAGCATGGGTAAACTAAAGGTAAACTAATACTAACAAAATTTGAAACAAGTTTTGTATTCACGCAATCCTTAGCCCTTAATCATGCTGAAGCGATATTTCCTCCATTCTAGCTGCCTGAATCTCCAGAAATAGAAATATAGGTTTTCCTATGTAATGTCAGGCTTTCAAAGGTAAACTACAAGATATACCAAAAAAGAAGACCAACAGGAAAAAAGAGACAATAGAAAGAAATCCATGAATGCCCTAGTTATCAGACAAATTTTTAAAAATAAATATGAAAAATATATGTCAAGGTTAATAATTTCACCAAAGAACCAGAATCTACTTTTTTACTCAATCAGAAATTAAAGAATGAAAAGCAACTGTGCACAGCGTTCTGTAACTAAGAAAATTACCCTTCAAAAGGTGAAGGTGAAATAAAGATATTTTCAGACAAGTAAAAACATAAAATTTATTGCCACTGGAAGTTCTGAAAGAAACTGGTTCAAGATGATTCAAGAAATAGACTGAAAAACAATGGAAATATAAGTATGTGGGTAAATCTAAATAAATGATGCATATATAAAATTACAATACTGTCTTGTGGTATATAAAATAAGTAGAATTTGAATGCAGGTCAATAAGAATACAAAGAGAGTGAGGGAAAGACAATAGTCTTTAAATTATGTGAAGCAAAAAAAAAAGTATCTCTTACATCAGCTGCTCAATCTTTTCTCAAATTCCAATGAACATCAGTGAAGAGAATATCTCTTAAGACAATTGGCACATAAACTAGAGACATTCTGTTCAATTTTTTACCCTCTGTTCTGTTAGAATGACTTTTCTTCATCTCCTAGTGCTCAGACAACAGGAAAACAATTCTCAAAATATTTAGTAAATCAGTGCCATTCAAACTTTAAGACACTAATAATAACCATTAATCATGACAATAACAATAATAATTTTTAGAATACCTACTAAGTAGCAGGTTGTTTACATACACTATCTCTTTTCATTCTCATGACAGACAATGTAAGTTGACAGAAATAGGGATACTATTTCATGGACAAGAAAGTAAATCTGAGATAATTTGAACACTGGTCCAAGGTTACACAACAAAAAATGAGTAAGTCAGCACTTAAACTTTTGTCTGAAGACAAAACCCATATTTTGTCCCATTAAACTGCATCACCTACCTAAAATGATACAAAAGTCAGTGTTAAAGGAAGTATTCGCTCACTGGGCCTAAACTAATGGTGAACTGAAATATTTAACTACTCCTCTATGTAAAGTTAAATAATTCTGTTTCAAGGTCAATTTTGTAACATTTAACAATCATGTAGGAGAAAGGGAATAGATTATTATAAAATAGGATGAGAAAATCAAATTGTTCCCTGTGACATTTAACATACTTAACAAAGTATCTCATTTCAATCACATCCCAATTCCAGAATCTTAAGAAAGCAAGTCAGTGAGGTGTGCCCTTACAAAATACCAAAAAAACCTTAAATATAGAACTACATTTTAAAACCCATAAAACATTCATATGGAAATGTAAGAGACATAGCTAAAACAGTTTCAAAAATGAAAAACAAAGTTCAAAGACTCACATTTTCTATTTTCAAAATGTATTGCAAAGCTACAGTAATCAAGACAGTATACTATTGGCATAGAATAGATACAGGTTAATCTAAGAGGAGAGAGTCCAGAAATAAGCTCATACATATCTGATCAACTGATTTTCATCAAGGGCACCAAGACCATTCAAATGGGGGAAACAGTAGTCTTTCAACTAATAGTGCAGGGACAACTTGATATCATAGACCAGAAAAATTACATTGTATCCCTACCTCACTCTATATACAAAAATTACCTCAAAATGGATCACAGACTAAACACCAAGAGCTAAACTAGAAAAACCGTTCGAAGGAAACATTTGTGACTTTGGGTTAGGCAATGGTTTCTTAGATAAGACACCAAAAACACAAGTGATCAAAAAAACAGAAGAACAGCAAAAACACAGATAATTTGGACTCTAAATCATCAAGGGAGCAAAATGACAAGCCACCGAACTGGAGAAAATACTCACAAATTATATATCTGATCAGGGAGGGTCTAGCATCCAGAATGTACCAAGAATTTTTACTCAATAATAAAAGACAACCCAGTTACAAAATGGACAAAGGATCTGAGTAGACATTTTCCCAAAAAAGATATCAAAAGATACACAAAGAGCCAATAAACCTATGAAACACTAGCTATTAGGGAAATGGAAATCAAAACTGCAATGAGATAGTACCTCACACACACCTAAATGGCTATAATAAAGATATACAATAACAAATGTTGGTGAGGACGTAGAGAAAATGAAACATATATTTTGCTGGTAGAAATGTAAAATGATAGTTACTCTGAAAAACAATTTGGCAATTCCTCAAAATGTTTACCTGCAATGAGGGAGACCTGGGTTTGATCTCTGGGTTGGGAAGATCCCCTGGAAGAGGGCATGGCAACCCACTCCAGTATTCTTGCCTGGAGAATCCCCATGGACTGAGGAGCCTAGTGGGCTACAGTCCACAGGGTCACAAAGAGTTGGACCTAACTAAGCACAGCACAGCAGCAAAATGTTAAACACAGAGTCATATATGACCCAGAAATTCCACTCCTGGATACAAACCCAAGAGAAATGAA